CCCTGTGCCGTTGAAAAGAAGGCCAACCACTACCTCTCTCTCCCCAATCACCAAACTCGCCGCCGTTCACCTTTCCGATTTTAATGCTACTCTCGTCATCGTCGTCCACCGGGGGGTGGATTGGGGATGACCGTTGACCGTTATTGATGCTGGTGCTGCCGGTGGGCGATCTGGAAAGAAGAGTTGATGGACATTTTCGCCGGAGCTGAAGAGGGCTAAGGGGGAAGCGATAGATCTAATTAGAATTTGGCCCATGCACATTGCCTATGCCATCTCTGCAGTCGTGAACCTCACCACCACTGCGGGCATCAATTCTCGATCTTCTTCGTTCTGACATGTCGGACACCCCTACCGACCGATCTAGGTATTGCTTGATGATTTTCTCGACCTTCATCTTCCCACCCTTCGACAGTCATCTTCCCGTCGATCAAGAAACCCTGTCGAAGTAGAATAACCCAAAGGTTCATGAACAGGAGCATGAAAACCCTCACCAGCAGTAGTTGCAACCATGGCAATTCGTGCCATATTTAGCCCCTCCAGCAAATTCCTCCCTCGATTGGCCAAATCCGATGTCGTCGCTCCGCCGTCTAGTCTCAGAACTCGCCGTCTTCTTCTGGAGAATCTTGTCAAGGTTGGCCAGATGCCTCTTGTTGCAGTTGACGGTGGCAAGCTTCTTCGCCGGGATACAATAATCCACAAAACAACAACAAAAGCTCCAGAGGCGAACCGCAGAACCGGAGCCTTGCATCTAGGTTTTCTTCTTCAGATGATACAACGAGGCTTTTTGAAATAATAGAGAGAGAGAGAGAGAGGTAGAAGTGGACAAGTTGGTCATTAGCGGAGGCACTGAGGGCAAGGATGCCTCAGGTGTGGTTGTCGGCGGGTTTGTGTTGGTTAGGATTGAGGAAGAAACGAGGAAACGAGATGGAGGCTGGTCTTTGTTGGCGATGGCGGAGAGGAGGGGGAATGGTAGATCTGCGTTGGTGAGGAAGAAAGGAGGAAAGGGAAGGGTTTGGTTTGAATGTTCGGGTCAGTTAATTAATGGGTTTTGTTTGGAAAGTTAGGTCAATTAATGAGTTGACATGGCAGGTTTCTTATGTGGCCGGTTTGGTTTCATTTTATTTTTTGTTAAAATTGGGTGACTCAGCATGTCTGTTAGCCATGTCAGCAAAAAACTAACGCCGTCAATGGAAGCTGACGGAGACTAACGGAGAGTGACCAAACTTGAACCGTTAAACTAAACCTAGTGACCACGAATGGAATTAAATATTTCGAGTGACCAAACATGAACCTTTTTTGTAATCTCACTAAATAACCTTGCAATTTACCCTAAAATTTCAATCCAAAATAAAGTATTGTCCCTATTATATAACTTAAAGTACTTTATTTCTAATGAAGTCTTAGGCGTATTATTGATTTGATGCATTTTAGGTACTATAATAATTTGAAATAAATCATTCAAATATTTATCTATTTTAAGAATGCTTGAATTGTTTTTATTCTCTGATTTGTTTGGACTTTTGTGACACCTTCATCAAACCAGGTACCAATTATACTAACTAGATATGGTCCCAAATTGGAATAGATTCCATGCTTGAGATTCAATGATAATTTTAAAGTTGTATTCCTTAATCATTTAACTTAGATTGTAAACAAAATGTAAATACAATTAATAGTCAAATTTTACGCACATTTTAAAATATTAGTAAAATTTTTTGAAATACAAAAAAAGTTATCAATAGTTAATTTTCCGTCCAAATTTTTGATAACTCATGATGAGGTGGCATATTGCGTGGTAAGTTAGAATACTTTTGTGTCATGGAAACACATTGGCTTTTTCGAAAAAACTAAAAATAGAAAAAAAAAATTACAACCACCGAAAGGACTTATCTTCTTCTTCGTTCCCTCTCAATTCTCATCCATCGAGACCTTCGCCACCCAAAACCTGCCTCCGGCGAAGGTATGCATCCCACTTCCCATGAATGCTAAGGCGGTTGATGGACTCGAGTGTAGGCAAAGCCCTAGCCAAAGCAGTACCATCGAATCGTTCGGGTCTTTGGCGGCATGTGACATGGCGTGCCAGTTGGAATTATCTAGCGTTGATGTGTTAGCTTAGGGTTAATTGTACAGGGAGGAATGCTAACATTTTTTTTTTGTTAGTATGGTGCTAACAATAGCTCCAACCAATCAAAACATTTTGTTTGGATGACTTTTCCATTTAGCTGGCCACAATTAATTAGGGGGAAGTGGAAGGAGGGGCACGCTTGGCATTATGAAAAATTAGGGAAGAGGAGAACAAAAGAAAGGGGGACCATGAAGCATGCGACAACCTCCTCAAGCATGCCACAACCACAAAGCATGCCACAAGTAGTGGACCTGTTTGTAAATTTGAAAAATTTCAGGTACGAAAATGTATGGAAATAAATTTTGGGTACTAAAATGTAATTTGTAAATAAAAAAATAATTATAGGTACCAAATAGCCTCTTAAGTTCAGGTACTACAATTGTAATTTGTAAATGGAACCTAGAAAAGCTACAAAAATGGAAGGGGAGGAGAAGGGAAGGGGAAGGTTGAAGGGAAAATACTATAATACCCTTAATAAATGTGTTAGTATGTTGCTAACACTTAAGGGGTCTCTTGCATGGAAGATGAAGGGTCGTTTGCTTGTTGGATTTGAAAAATGAAGGTTTTGTGCAACATAAAACCTTGGGATTCATGAGGGATTTATTGTATTATGGATTTGAAAAGTCTAGTGTTTGCATGATAGAATTGATAATGGATTTATGATGGATTTGTCACATAAGCAACTAACAACCATCATGGATTTACAAATCCCAAACAAATATGTGGGATTTACAAGTCCGTGGGGTCCACGGATTTGGTCCCATATTAAAGACCAAATCCGTGGACCCCACGGATTTGACACCCATCAACAAACAATGGACTTGTGTTAAATCCATCAAACTTGGGATTTAGGTACCAAATCCATGACCCAAATCCAACAAGCAAACGACCCCTTAAGAGTGTTAGCACCGTATCCATTCCCTAATTGTACAAGGTGTGACTTAAGTTTAGCGTTTGTTGCACGATAACCATCTAAGTACCTTCGTTGCAACTAAACTATTTAAGTCAAATTTCGGTAGCACTACCATTTTAGTCCTCATGACTAACGGTAGGTGTCAAAATGTAAATAGTCATGCCACTGAGATTGTCACACCAGCTGTAGTAGTATGCTGACTCATATCTAGCCCAATCCCATTTAAATCCAAAATCTAAACTTAAGTGGCACCTTGTGCAATTAACCCTGTTAGCTTACATGTACATTCATCTAACAGGGTATGGATCAGGTTCATTAGTAAGTTTAGGATCAGTAAATGAGTAACCCGTCCACGTCAACATTACATCAGCATCCTCTTTCTTATGGAAAGCCTTTAATCTTTAATAGACGATTTCTCTCTCGTTTTAAGTCAAAATTTTAAATTGTTTTGCACAGATAAATCAAATTAATTGTACTCTTCAAAATGATATCCACTTTGATATATTTTTAGAACAAAAAAAAGTTGAATCATTTTTTACGAGTCTATACCATATGGTATTAAATAAGAGCATACCATATGGTATGCAAGTGTACCATGGTGGTATGGATATACAAAGACTATAGGATAGCTGAATACATGATAGTAGAAGTATACTAACTGTCATTTACGACTTTCATCATTGTGTACTAGAAGTTACCACGCCGCATACCAGTGTGGTATAATATAGTATTTTTCACCAAGAAATTTGTAGATCCAATAGATCATGATGAACTCGTTTCTTCGGTCCAAATATTTCAAAAACGACTTTAAAACGAAGGAGATACCATATGATATGGAGTTGGAAACGAGAGCTATGAAAAAAAAAATTCATAAAATATTGAAAATTGATATCATATTGTAGAGCACAACAAACTTGTTCCATCTAAAAAAAATTGAAATCCGAGTTCAAAAGAAAAAAAAGAAGAGCCAATGAAGAAAACTAGAAAAAATAAAATATTTTAAATTCACAACCCTTAGATCTGGATTTTCTGAGTCCACTGAAAACCAAAGGTACAGATTTAGTTACTTATAGATGAGTAATCAATGGTTACTGACACTATCTTGAGCCCATCTAACATACCATTTGAATTAACAGATTTTGACAGAACATGGCTGTTATTTTGTAATCTTATCAAACATTTGGTTAGTTTTTTTGTATTTCAAAAGGTTCGATTAATATTTTAAAATGCATACAAGTTTGGCTAATATATAGTATTGACCGTAAAAGATTTTCATAGAATAAATGAACTAAATTACTATTGTTCAATGTATTTCGAGGAACAAATTTTTGGACTATGTATATCCCCAACTATCGTCGTTTTAATGTATAATTTTTGGTACTACATGGTATACTGTGGTAAACGACTCTTGATTAACATTTATTTGTTCTAAAATATATCAAGATGGATGTTATATTGTAGAATATGATCAATTCAAATTTCTTATAAATTTTTTGTTTATATCACATTTAAAATAAATAAGACATAATACACTAAAGTTTAATGGGCAATAATTATACATGGGGCATGACCTAGTCGTTAAGCAGTTCATCTGATTCATCACCATTGATCTTTTAATCAACAGATAATTTGTTTTTGTGCAAAAGTAGTGACAAATTTTTTTTCATAGAAAAAGTAATGACTTTGACTTCTTATAAATTTCAACTCTCCCATCCTAGTGAATTTTTATATTATTAATTCTACAACCAACATGTATATTAATTTGTCACTCATGTTAAATTATAATAAATTTGTTCATGGAAAAGATACTAATTTCTAAGCAGTAAGCACATTATAATTAAGGTCACATATTATATATCTTGAAATTATTACTATTCATGTAAGCACTTCATTTCTTTTGTTGAGAACTCTCGATGATATATTTGCTCACGAGTAGAGTAACCAAACTGTATGGGTTTGCAGTGGATACTTCATGACTGGAGCGATGAGCGGTGTTTGAAGCTGCTGGAGAACTGCTACAAAGCAATTCCAAAGGAGGGAAAAGTGATAGTTCTGGAAGCTGTGGTGCCTTTCATGGCGGAAAATAGCACATGCTCACAGTTATCTACTGCACTCGATGTGTTCATGATGACACAGAACCCAGGAGGGAAGGAGCGAACGAAAGAAGAATTCTTGGATCTGGCAACTCGATCTGGGTTTAGAGGAATCGACTTCAAATATTGTGTGTACAATTTTTGGGTTATGGAGTTCTTCAAATGATCGAAGCGCCAGTTTGACTGTCATGTTTGCTCCCTTGAGAATTGGGGCAAAGGGGAACGGGTAAAGATGCATAATTAATACTATGAAATCTCTTTCTTTGTTTCCGAACCGAATAAACCAGTTTGAATATTCAGTGTAATCGATGGTTCAGATAAGTATTCATATTTATTTGCGTAAAAATTTGATCATATGGTTTTGTTTTCGGTGCACTCACTTTTGTGGGTGCATTCAATTCATTCGTCTTATAATCGTCATTATAATTTATGAGAAGGTGATTAATGTCAAAACGATGTCCATCGTTATATATGATATGATGGACAAGAAAACACATTAATGTGAAAAAAGTCATTCAATATTTACTTTTATTTCAAGAATTTAGGGCTAGGAATTCCGCATTAAGATTTATAATTAGGATAAGGCATTGATTAGTAGTGATCCTATGTTATATCATCATATTAGCCTGCAACCAAGTAAAGTTCAAAATTCGATATATTAATGCCAGTTTAGAGCTGGGAGCATTGGATTCACTCATTTTTGTGAGTGTGCTGATTCAGCGAAATATATTGAAGTGCAAAAACCAAGTGTCAACACAGGCATACAACGTACGACTGACGTACGCTAGCCTATACCATATATATATATATATATATATAGTACACGTTAGTGGCTACACATTTACAAGGTGGTCCTTAAACTTTATGATTTAACACACTCCCTCAAATTGATATACAGTTCTCAACATCAATTTGGATGAAAGATACCAGTGTCCACTTGAAGCAACAACCTTTGTCAACTGTTGAAATCGGACAGCTCAATTAGTACAATATTGTCCGCTTTGGGCCAAGCCCGCAAGGTTTTACTTTTGGGTATCCTCCCCAAAATGCCTCGTAGTAACAAGCTTGGTGGACACTAATATACAAGGGTTCCTTCCCTTGTATTACCGATGTGGTACTTGGATTGTCCCATAACAATTCTCCCCTCAAGCTAAGGACCACGGAAATCGTGTCCTCTCCACAACGATTATCTTGATCCGCCAGACACCTTGTATCGATGGGCTTCTCGGTACAAGGAATTTCCCAAAGCGGAACTCTCTTTGATCCGCCAAACCAGATGTAGCTCATGTTGAACTCTCTTTGATTCGCCAAACAGACGTGGACCTCTCCTGGATCACCAAACAGACGCGAGCCGCCTTTGACCCGCCAGAAAAACGCAGATATCAAATCTTGAAGTCACCCAATGAGGATCCCACCAAACTGACGTCCACCGCCCCGAACCCGCCAAACCACGCTCTGATACTACTTGTCAAAAAAGAAGCGTGAAAACGATAATCCAGATCAACACAAACGAACACGAATTTAACATGATTCACTAACAAAATGTGTGCTAGCTAATCCACGGGCAGGGGAGAACAAATTTCACTAATTTGAGGAGAGTACAGGTTACAAACCAAATATATTGAAGTGCAAAAACCAAGTGTCAACACAGGCGTACAACGCACGACTGACGTACGCTAGCCTTTGCCATATATATATACATATATATATAGTACACGTTACTGGCTACACATTTACAAGGTGGTCCTTAAACTTTATGATTTAACACACTCCCTCAAATTGATGTACAGTTCTGAACATCAATTTGGATGAATGATACCAGTGTCCACTTGAAGCAACAACCTTTGTCAACTGTTGAAATCGGACAGCTCAATTAGTACGATATTGTCCGCTTTGGGCCAAGCCCGCACGGTTTTACTTTTGGGTATCCTCCCCAAAAGGCCTCGTACTAACGAGCTTGGTGGACACTAATATACAAGGGTTCCTTCCCTTGTATTACCGATGTGGTACTTGGATTATCCCATAACAATTCTCCCCTCAGGCTAAGGACCACGGACATCGTGTCCTCTCCTCAACGATTATCTTGATCCGCCAGACACCTTGTATCGATTGGATTCCCGGTACAAGGAATTTCCCAAAGCGGAACTCTCTTTGATCAGCCAAACCAGATGTAGCTCAAACGTTGAACTCTCTTTGATTCGCCAAACAGACATGGACCTCTCCTGGATCCACCAAACAGACGCGAGTCGCCTTTGACCGGCCAGAAAAACGCTGATATCAAATCTTGAAGTCACCGAATGAGGATCCCACCAAACTGACGTGCACCGCCCCGAACCCGCCAAACCACGCTCTGATACTACTTGTCAAAAAAGAAGCGTGCAAACGATAATCCAGATCAACACAAACGAACATGAATTTAACGTGATTCACTAACAAAATGTGTGCTAGCTAATCCACGGGCAGGGGAGAACAAATTTCACTAATTTGAGGAGAGTACAGGTTACAAACCAAATTCAGGAATACACAAACCAAACAAACTAACCTGACTGACCTTACAATAGATTTGGATGATGAAGAGTTTTTATAGAACTCTTCTCCTAATCCCAAACAAAAAACCAGACACCTTTTTCCCAAACATACAACGAAAAAGGTCAAAACAAAGTCCAAACACAAACCCAAACAAAATAGGCCCAAAATACAAATCAAACACAAATCAAATTCAAGTCATATTCTAACAATCTCCACCTTGGCTTAAATTCTCTCTCAAATACCATATGTACCAGATGCAACGAAAGTTTCCAGATGTACCCAGACACGATACATATCGCCAAACTCAAATGCGATGCAATCAAAATCGGTAGATGTAACAAACTCTCCAAATCTCCAAATGTGACAGAATCTCCCCTGCCTCCAAATACCATATGTACCAGCTACCAAATGCATGCGGATTAGTTGCTACTCACATAAAATGACTCCCCACCTGAAAAATATTAGCCTATATTTGGTCGAGTGTGAGTCAAGAAGATCATACCGCTCACTAGACTGCGATACACAGTTTGGTCGTTCTTCACTTCCCCCCCTTCATGGCAGAGTTTAAGATTTTTGTCCATAGGAGTGGAGCAAGAAACACAATAAGCAAAGTGATATGACTCCAGAAGATCCACCTTGTGCTTACGTTGTGAGACAAATATACCCTGCGGAGCTCGACAGACTTCTAATCCCATAAAATATGATATTTCTCCCTACTCTTTCAAGTTGAACGAGTTACGTAGAATAGCAGTAACTTCGCGAATCCCATCTACATCACTACTCTTGATAATCATGTCATCAACATAAATTAACAAGACAACAATGCCATCAATCGTATCCCGTGTGAACAGAGAGGGATCATTCTGACTTCGGAAAAATCCTGCCTATACTATCCTACCATGGAATTTTCAAACCATGCACGCGGTGCTTGTTTCAGACCATACAACGAATGGATCAACCTGCAGACATTGTAGAATCTCCCTTATAATACCCAGGGGGTCGCTCCATATAGATGGTTTCCTTTATATCGCTACGAAGGAAGACATTCTTCACATCTAATTGTAATAACCGCCAACCTTTCATATTAGCAACTGCAAAGACACACCACACTATCTGCATCTTGACCACCGGAGCAACAGTTTCTTCATAGTGAATATCATATTCTTGCTTGAACCCCTAACCCACCACTCGAGCTTTAAACCTATCTACTAAACCATTCGAATTCATTTTCACAGCATAAACCCATTTACTCCCATTAACCGTCATTCAATCCTGTGGAGGAACAACTTCCCACGTGCCATTCGCTTTAAGGGCATCCATCTCAACCCTCACTGCAGAGTTCCATATATGATCCCCCATGAAAACCGGCTCTGTGGACAATCCCACGAAATCTTGCATTTGAACGAGTGGTTTGCCTAAAGTAGCTCGAGAAGAACGACGGAGGGGAATTAATGGCTGATCCTACGGTGGAGAAATGCCATCAGAAGAGGATCTGAAAGAGGAGTCAGACGACACTCTACTTGATGTGGCTGACGAAGACCTACTGGACGAGGAGGAAAAAATCCGTGGAAGTCGAGATCCCAGTCATGCTAGTAGAGATTGAGACAGTAGGAGAATGCAGGTCTGAAGAGCTATCTGAGGTAGAATGAGACACTTCCGATGTGGGTGGTGAGGCCAATGAAGATGGAACCTCGAACTCTGGCCAAGAAAGTAAGAAACTCAAGTGCTTGCAGTATACTAACTTCGCTAGGTGAAGTGTGATAGTACATATTCAGCTCCATAAATTTCACATGATATGCACTTCGCATTCGACGACCAATTGGATCATAACACATAAATCCTTTGTGCTTGTCACTATACAAGATAAAGACACACCAACCTACCTTTGGCTCTAATTTGTAACGTTCTTTTCACTGTAGTAGCACAAAATAGGTACAACCAAACACTCGCAAAAGTGCATAATCTAGAACTCGAGAATATAGAACCTAATATGGCAATCTATTATCCAACATAGTAGTGATTTTTTGATTAATAAAAAAAAATATAGTGTGCACATCTTCGACCCATAAACCTGTAGGAACACGCAAGTGAAACAGAATACCACGAGTGAGCTCCAAGACATGGAGATTTTTCCGTTCTACCACCCCATTTCGTTGAGATACCCCTGGACGTTACTGTTGTGGCAGAATACTCTGTTTTAAACAAAATAAGAAGCTCATTTGCCACAAAGTCTCCTCCCGGATCAGAGTGAAGGATCTTAATGGTTTTACCAAACTGTGTCTTGATCATGTGAATATAATCTCGAGCTACAGCTATCAACTCAGATTTCTGTTTCAGAAAGTACTACCATGTAAATCGAGATGTATGATCAATGAACAGAACAAAATATCTGAACCCAAGACGTGAGGTAACCGGCGAGGGACCCCAAAGTTCAGTGTGCACAAGATCAAACTGTTCCTAATAGATAGTATCAAAAAAGGACAAAGACGCTTGAGACGCATTTGCCTCTACACAGCTCACACAATCAAAAATCACATCCAATTTTGAAGCATCTAGTTTATCCGGTAACAAATCCTATTTAAGAGAACTAAAATATGAACCACTACTAGTGTTTGACAAATCGGACCCATAACCCAAAAAACCATGTATATGTTCTTGATCCACCTTCGCTGTAACCCGTGTCTTGTCATACAGACCACCCAATCGACTACGGACTACGGAACACGCATGCTTCTCTCCAAGGCCATGTATCTCATCAAGAACATTAGTGCAATCGATCTTACTTCCCCGCCTGATCACCTTCCCCGTCCTCCAATCCTGCACAACACATCATTAGAATCAAATAGAACTCTACAACCATTATCTGCCAACTGACCCACTTATACCAAATTGGGTAGAAGTTGTGGAACATGTAAGGTATTGGGGAGAGTGATCGAGTCTGTGCAAGCAGTACCAGACCCAGCAACAGGAATAGTAGCCCCATTGGCCACTTGAATTATAGGAGTAGTAGGTTTAAGTTAATAAAAGGTGTACAATTCCGATTCATGTGGTTAAATGGAAGGGCCTCTTGAACCATGCGACGAATCTTCTCAAGAGTCATACTAGAAGACGAGCTCAACCCAACAGAAGACATCTCAATAGATAGAACTACCAGATATGTCGTGCCCTGTGACGCTAAATTGGGCGGCCGACAAAACTTGCCTCTCTGATCCAATGTAGGACATTCACATACTATATTCCCCGTACGCTTGCAGTAATTGCAAAAACTATGTTTCTTGCAATAAATTTGCACGTGTCCAGGATCATGATAGAGGTAACAAATCACCTCTCCAGAATTTGGCCGCTAAAAAGTAGGATGAGTAGCATTTGTTGGGCGGCCAACGAAAAAACCAGAATCAACCAAAGGACAAGTATGATTAGTATGAGCTTGAATCTTGAATCGAGCATCCTATCTCATGAATTCAACCACCACATCTTCAATCTCGGTAACATTATGATGAATCAATGAAGCTTAAATTGGTTCAAACTCTGAACGTAGCTTAGCCAAGAATTGAAGAACCCAGGTACGCGCTCGTTCACTAATAATCGCAGATCAGGCCTCCTCAAGGACTAGAGTAGCAGTAAGGATATCATACTTCGTCCATAAATGAAGACACTTCTGGAAGTATCCTCGAACAATGCAATCTCCTTAAGAAAGTCGAGATATGGCTTTCTCCAGCTCAAACTGACCTGAAGTACTATCTTGTTCATAAGTATCACATATATGAGGCCACATCTCATGTTATATAATCATATCTACATATCCAATGAGATCGGCTGGGCATTCGCCGCCATCCAATCCTCAACCAGCTTCGCATCCGCGCCATTAGCGGGGTGCTTAACCTCTTCTATCAAAATAGCCAATGGCCTCTTTCCTGCCACAAAATTGCGGAATTGAAACTCTCAAATAGCAAAAAATTTCCATCAAAATTCATGGAGATAGAATCCATCTTCGACACGTCCATAGCAACCACCGGGGAAAACAATAACAAATCACAAGCCAAGTAAGTGCTCACCTTACTCCGTCAACCCGAAACCAACAAACAGTAACCCTACGTCGCAACCGACCATAAATGGCATCTAGGCGTCCGAGAAGAAATCGCGAGGGACACATCGGGGTGGGGCTCTCCGTTGGTGATTCGGGCCCAAATGTACACATTTTACCCCTCATTTCTTATTCTTTTAGCTTAGTATTTCATCGTTCCTCGACATATTTCACGCTAGGTTGTGCTTGTTTTGATACATTTCAGGTTCTAGCACGTGTGGAAGGGTCGAGGACTAGTTTTGGGATAATTAGTGGTCAAAAAGAGCAAAAACCCAAGAAAAGTCCAAAGTGGCGACTGTGACAATTGCCCCGAAACAGTGAAGTGGATGCGTCCAGGAAGCAGCCGCAGTTCACGGTCAAACAAGGGAGTTCATGGTCTCCTAAGACCGTGAACCTGAGCCACAAACCGTGAACATCGAGCAGTCCAACGAGGTTTAAGAGGTTATTGACGCCATGCGAGTTCACGATCGCTAAGACCGTGAACTGGGGCAATTAACCGTGAACCCAAGAGAGTGAAGCAGTGAGTTTTGGAGACGACTAATTTCACGGAGGCGTTTAGGTGTTCACGGCTGTGAACTGGCCAACGTGTCCGTAAACTGCTCAATTTCAGGCAAATATGAAGACATCAGCGGGGAGAGATAAAAAGGGAATGGGTTTTGGAGAGAAATTCAATTCCCTCTCTAAGGTTTGCCCAAAAATACCAAAGGGGAGTACTAGAGAGAGAGTGAGAGAGTGTGTTAGAGTGATCTTGGAGCATCATTGGAGGCTTGGGTGGATCTTGAAGACAAGGATTCAAGACTAGAAGAAGAAGAAGAAGAAGATCTTGAGGTCAAATTTGTAATCCCACTCTTCTCTCTCTAGAAACTCACTCATTTCTCTTGGGTGTTCTAGATACCTAACTAATACTTTGTAATTACTTGTTTAGATTGAATGATTTTGTATGGGTTTGCATCAATTTGAGTATTAGAGGTGTTTTCATGGTGATTGTGCTTAGTTGTGCTTTCCAAATCTTGTGTGCTTGCCTAACCTAAATTAGAGGAAAACCACACCTTTTTAGGTAGGCTTGACAAGCTTGGTTTTCCTGGGCACTTTGTGCCTACTATCTAGGTTAGAGATGAGCATCCCCCTTGACTCAAGTTTGCATCTGGGTTGGTCGTGATTAAGCCGCTCAAACTCCGGTTTGAGGGAGAGACCTAGGAAACCCCTATAGACTAAGTGAGAGGATCGATTCCGTGACAAATCGATCTCTAGTGAATCCCTCCCGTGGCAAATAGATCACTAGTTGATCCTCCTAGCGGTTCCCCTAGACGTCGTGAGTGGATCGATCCCGTGAAAGTAGGATGATCGCTAGTGAATTGATTCCGTGACAAATCGATCACTAGTTGCTCACCCTCGCGGTTCGCAACCACCTACACCACACGACTCCATTCAATCCAACGAGTCATGGTAGCTAGTTAGGGGGGAAGCAACTGCTGGGTGAAGCTCCCTTAATAAGAATTTTCCTTTATTTACTTTTCTTTGCTTGTTTAGTTTGTAGTTCCATTAGTTCTAAACCCAAAAGTTGCTTGCTAGATAACAATCTAAGAGATTGAAGAAGGGATACATGGATCGGCTCGGGTTGATAATTATAACTTACTTGCCCTATGCTGCACCCCTCTAGAGTTTAAAAACTTGGGCTCTTGAGGGGATTACTAGTGTGGTGTTTTGTGTCAGTCAGTTGGCCAACAGAGCAACACCAACCTTAGAGTATAGGCTCTGATAACATGTAAAGAACTAGAACTAAGAACACACACACAAGGCACATGATTGTAACGTGGTATCCATGACTAATCCACGTGAGAGGTTGTGCTCTCCAAAAGGGTTTCACTATCATAGACTTCGTCAGGTTGCATGGAGTTCGGCTATGCATTAGTACACATTAGTGGCTACACAATTACAAGTTAGTCCATAAACTTCATGATTTAACATATAGTACACTACAGAAAAATCGATTTTTAGTCACGATATTTTATTCATGGGAACTGTTACCGTACTAAAAGAATAGTAATCATCACGAGAAAAGTTTTCATAATTAATTGTATATTTCTAGTCACGGGAATTAATTTGTCCACTTTTCTATTTTTATTTCAGTGATTAAGGGTTAATTGCACGGTTGGTCACTGAAATTACAAAAAACGTTCAAGTTTGGTCACTCAAAATATTTAAATCCATTGGTGGTCCTTCAGTTTACTCAAACCGTTCATGTTTGGTCACTCTCCGTCCAACTCCGTTAACTTTGGCTGATGTGGCAGTCAACTCTCAAAATTGACCGTTAACTTAGTGACATGGCAACTAAAAAATTATTAAAAATTAAAAAATTAAATTTTTATATTTTCCACCTCATTATTACATTTATTAAAAAATAAAAAAATAAATAAAAAACCAAATATTCCCAATCCTTCCTTTGAGTCACCAGACATGGCTGGTTGCGTCGCTTCTTTTCTTGACCCAATCAACAGTACACGATTAGTACGAACGAACTCCAAAGTAGTAGAAGAAGAATACGAGTATCTTTCCCCGAACTTCCCCCAAACCCCTAATCCTGATTCATTCCCCCAATTTACTACCTCTCCGCCTCTACTCTCTTCTACTCAGTCCTCACACGACAAGAAACTGAAAAGACCCAATCCCAATCTCCTTCTTTCTTCACCATTTCCAGATTATGATTTCTGACCCAAATCCTCCCCTTTCCGCCTGAATCTCTCGACCCATAAACCATGTCGATTAACCCAGAAACCCCAGAGTCCACGGCCTTTGAAATCGCCGCCCAAGTCAAGCCCTCAGCTCCTCCTCATCCTCCTTGGCAATTTCCCGGCCCAGATCCCGATGAAGAAGCCTCGTAGATCCTCCCCCACCGCAACTTCCTCAGGTTCTGCGGCTGCTCCGCCGTCATCATCCTCATGGCCGCCATGCTCTTCCTCATCCTCCTCTTCACCGCCTTCCGAATCAAGGTCCCACACATCGCCGTCGCCAGGGTCACCAGCGCCGGGCCTCAGACCCTCAACCGCCTCCGCAACAGGACCGCCACGGTTCTCGCCGACGTCAAGGTGAGGAACCCGAATGCGGCGGCGTTCAGGTTCGGCGGCGGTGAGGCGACGGTTTACTACGGGGAGACGGTGGTGGGGGAGGCGGCAACACCGCCGGGGGAGGGCGAAGGCGAGGGGGACGGTCCATATGAGCGTGGCGGTAGAGATTTCGGGGGAGAAGTTATCCGGTGTGTCGCGGCTCACGGAGGACGTTAAATCCGGGTCGTTGATGATGAGTTGCGTTACGTGGGTGAGGGGAACTAGAAAGGATTGGGAATATTTGGTTTTTTATTTTTTTATTTTTTAATGAATGCAATAATGAGGTGGAAAATATAAAAATTTAATTTTTTAATTTTTAATAATTTTTTAGTTGTCACGTCACTAAGTTAACGGTCAACTTTGAGAGTTGACTGCCACATCAGCCAAAGTTAACGGAGTTGGACGGAGAGTGACCAAACATGAACGGTTTGAGTAAACTGAAGGACCACCAATGGATTTAAATATTTTGAGTGACCAAACTTGAACGTTTTTTGTAATTTAGTGACCAACCGTGCAATTAACCCCAGTGATTAATAAGTAAACACAGTTAATTCCCATGAACAATGTAGATTCAGAAAAAAAAATTCACCAAATTTCAAGAGAAATTTTAATTTTGCTCCAAAGTCCTCTTTAAAGGGAGTACTTTGTTATCGGAACCAAAAATTTCTCAAATTTACCCGCCTTCTTTCCTTTTCACAATCCCCCCCCCCCAAAAAAAAATGAAACCATAAATCGTTTGCCGCTACAACTATAGCAAACAATATTTCTCATATAGAAAAACCAACTCGATCAGTTTACTTCTGTTTCCTCCCCTTCTCCCCTGCCAATTCCCCACCGCTTTGGTGGTTTTCGCCGTCGTCGTGGTCGCTTCTCAATCGTCAATTCCTTATCCTGCACCGTCTCCTTAAAAGCCCTCTGTGAACCTATTTCAGTGATATCCCCCAACATACCACTTAAAAACTAAAAAATTTGTAAAATACCACCATTTCTAAAAAAATTCCATTAATACCCCCAATTCACAAGGATAATATCCCACCACGATGATTAAAACGAGGTCCACAGAGGGTGTTGCTGCTTCCATTTTATGAAATAAAAGTGGGGGTAGCTGCTGTTCTCTGGCTGACGTAGACAGAAGCGAAGGATCCCCCAGTGGTTTTAGTTTCACAACAAAGAACCGCCGCAACCCCTGGTTATCCGTTTCACAAACATAGAACGGGGAGGGGTGTAACGCCCCACCCTAAAACTCATGGGTCGAACCACTGGTTCGCCCGCACAGCGGTAAATACTAATAGGGTTTACGTATTAACTCATCATTTAATATATATGCATTTTTCATTTACTAAACATAAATCAGGGTGAACATTAATATATTTCAAGTCTAAGTCATTTATTAATATCTAATCTCGTTCATTAAACTGAAACATCATATAACATCCAATTAATGACATCAAAATCCAAATACTTGTTCGTTGAAACTCAAATCTCCATGTTACATACTTTGGTAAAATCCATAAATCATGATAACTCAATCGATCAAACTCAATGCAATCAAATCCAACATAATACATGTTTGTGATAGTTGTTTTACAATACGAAACAAAGCTAAAAACTCTCCTCCGACCAATCATCTGCTACCTCATGATGGGGTAGAAATTGCACAGCTCCAGCATCCAAGCTTAGTTCCTTTGTTGCGGATCTGAACCCAAAAAGGGAGGGGATCAACTAACTAATTTCGCAGAGGTGTGGCAATGTTCCCTCCAATACGGCGAAGTCTATTGATATCTTTTCCACGTCAATCGATTAACCACCTAATCATGGCATCTAGGTTGAAGTCTCAACCTAATATAATTCTCAACCTAGAATCCAATATCCAAACAATATGCAAGTGCAATGCATTTCCATTTTTATTAATTTGGGCGCCAAGGATACCATACATCCACCCCGCTCGAGCCTCATTATCTCAGTGGTTATATCAGAAACCACAATCATATCTCTTTGGCCACTGGCCTCATCGATCCTAATGATCGTCAGTAACAATATCAAATGGTTGGGAGTAAATGCAGGCCCTTTCTAAGTCTATGTGATTAACATGAACATCATATAAAAGCACCATTATCATCAAAATCTCAATATAAAAATCATCCATCTCAATCGATCTTGGTGTAATTACCAAGTCAATGCCATACGCTAGTTTGTACATCTCATGCATACAATAACATTATCATATCATCCATCAAATTATCAAGTAGAAAATTCATTCGTAAACATTACCATTATCTTACATTCAACGTATAAGGTGGGCAGTTTGAATCCTCGTACATGGTTCGTTAACCATTTACTCGGTGATAATCACCGAGTAATTTGAATGGCGGACTTGTCGTGGTAAAAATCCGGGAAGAGGAATGAGTGCCACTACTCGTAGTACACTTCTTACAACCGTATTCCCAAAAGATTTCACCAAGTGAATTCCCAGGTAAGTGGACTAATATCACGAACGTCTCAATTAAAAACCACTAGCCTAGACAGAATTCTCCCATGATAGCTGTCCATTATTCAAATTATCACGAATCCTTTTGTGGTTTAATAATTATCCTAAGTAATCGTATTAGTATAATTATTCAATCGTCGGCGTAATTTTAAATAACTCATGGCCTGATATCACGTCATGAATTATTGAAATAATAACAACGTAGTCTCAAGGAATTTCGCGATTCGTAGGGATTAATTACAAAGTCTTAAATTCCAAATACTCGATTATGAATAATCCAATTCTTCTCGAGTATAAAAAATCATAATAACGACATTCTTCATTTTATCTTCCTTAAATCCTCATCTATTTTCCAAGTACGTAGTAAAACACCGCCTATTCACCGCAGAGTCCACACACCTTATTTATGATATAAATCAACTTTGCATGGCTTCTGTAAAAATTCAAATCCTTCTTGATATGATTATCCTCGTCTCTACGATCCTGTAGGCGAATATGATTTGTCGTTTGGACGTCAAACGAACAAATTACAACCAAAATACGAATTCTGTCAGTTCTCGAAGTACCAGGTACTAAACTTACAATTTTCAAGTCAACCAGCGAGTTCACCCTTTCTATGGAAAAACTCTGATCCGGCCCTCAAACTTTTCGATTTGCAAAAATTGTACCAGACTTACAGAAACTGACAGTTTTACGTGGCCAACTTGCGAGGCTCGCTCCCTCGTTCGATGTCGAAAATTTATTCCGTCGAAACATGTGTGCTCCTGGTATCGCCTTCTCCGACATGGTTTCAACGACGCTTCTGGTTTTGTGCGAGCCTTCCACTGACCCTTATGTTGATCTCTCCAACTCTAGAGCACCTAGAAACTCTCCTTATCTCTCTATTTCCTTCTTTCCTTTAGTTGGGACTTACCGTTGTCGAAAGTACCTTTATTCTATATATATACACACAACCACCCAAACACATTCTTTAATGGGTTGATCTAGGGTGGTTGGTTAATAATTTTGAATCCAATCTCTAATGTCACGGCTCATGGAATGGTGGTTCATTGAGGCTTGTTTTTCCAAAAAAATAGGAAGAGAGAACATGACTCTCTATCATCCTAGTGTTCATTGGAATATATACATATATGTATATGCACATAATGCTGGCCAAATTATTGCAATAGAATGGGTTCATCAATTTTTGAACAGAGACCACGTACGATGAACTTCTTTCCTTTCTTCACAATTCGATGTCGTCAGATAGTAAATAATTAAACGTACTATGAGGCTTATTCACAAATAGTGTGTAATCCAACTGGTAAATGGTGATTCCTTTGTAGCTTTGGTTCCATGGTTTGAATCTTGGCCATGACAATTTATTTTTGTACTCTTTTTCATGTTAGAGACAACTTCCACAATTTAGCTAGTGACTCTTTCGTTTGACAACAGAATCTATCCCCGTCTGAACTCACGCGTTTGTCTTCTCGCTCTCTACCATACTTCCTTCATTCCACATTTATTCTTTAGATTTTTCATGTTTGTAATTGATGAGTACTCATAGTTCTTCCAAACCAGTGGAATTCATTCCAACTATTGTCGGAGTTCTTTGTTCCAACGTCGAACCGGTTTAATGTGAGATTTAACTCAGATACTGGATGTTACTACTCTCCGCTCCTTAATTGGATTTCGTCCTCGAAATCAAATAGTATAATAAAATTCTCTTATGAATTTTTATTTAGAAATTCGATACATTATCGACAACGTCGACTTAATACAACAAGAATTAGTTGAGACGAATACTAGTAGAGTATACTTCAACTAACTCAGGATATCTCTTCATCATACTTTCTTCAGTCTCCCAAGTTGCTGCTTCTTCTTCGTTTTTTCTCCAAATGACTTTAAACATCGGGATGTGCTTGTTCCTTAGAACTCGTATCTGTTGGTCCACGATACTTACTGGCCTCTCTTCGTAGGTCAAGTCGGGTTCTAGGACCACATCTTCCAGTTGTATGACATGAGAAGGATCCGCATGATACTTCTTCAACATACTCACATGAAAAACATTGTGAATTTTCTCCAACTCAGTAGGAAAATCCAGTTTGTAAGCTACCGATCCAATTTTGGCAATAATGTCATAAGGACCGATTTAACGAGGTGCCAACTTCCCTTTCTTTCCAAACCTCGTTAATCCCTTCCATGGCGATACCTTTAGAAACACTTTTTCTCCCACATCATAACTTACTTCTCGAGCTCTCCCGTCGGCATAAAGTTTTTGGCGATTTTGAGCTACTCGTAGTCTCTCTTTGATCACTTTAACCTTATCCGTTGTTACTTGAATTATTTCTGTCCCAGAAAGAACTAGAGCGCCCTCTATATCCCAACATAGAGGTGTTTAGCACTTCCTGCCATAAAGAGCTTCAAAAGTAGCAGCTTGAATAGTACTGTGGTATGAGTTATTGTAAGCAAACTCTACCATCGGTAGTAAATCGGTCCAAGTTCATTCTACTTCCATCATGCAAGTTTGTAAAATTTCCTCTAGAGTTAGGATCGTCCTTTCCGATTGAGCGTCTGTTTGGTGATGATATGCAGTTGAGAAGTTGAGTTTTGTCCCCATTGCTTCATGCAAGCTCTTCCAAAAGTTGGAGGTGAAACTACGATCTCTGTCTAACACAATGGATATTGGCACTCCGTGTAACCGCACCAC